CGGGGTGGTGCAGGGGAGGTGCGGGGAAGCTGAGTCGCGCGGCCCTGCCGCCCCCCGGCCTCTGAATCCGTATATCCCTGACGAGCGCGCCAGGCAATATTTTCTTCACTGTCAGCGTTTTTCTTCTTATTATGGTTCATTTATAACCCCGATTCACCATTATCATCAGAGCTTTTGCAGGGCAATAAACCACAACGATAACTTCGGAAGACATTGCAAACACATTACAAATAATGTCCGCTCACATCCCTCCCTCGGGAACGCAGAAGCGAGGTCCGTGCCTTCTCTGAACGCCTGTGCCACCTGCTCCTGGGGGAGAGAGCCCACCGGCTCCTCGCTGCCCCACTCCCGACTCTGCAGCCCCCGCAGTCTGGCCTTCACCCCCACCTGTGAAGAGGGGACCTTGGACTTGCCAGCGGCCAACGGGCGATTGACAGCTTTCCTTCACAGCCCTTTCGTTCACTGCTTCCTCCTGGAAATGTCCTCCCTCCCTGGGCTTCGGTGACCCTTATTCTGCTAGCTTTCCTCCCATTTGGGGGGCTGCTGCTTTCAACCGTTAAAGTGGTTGCAGTTTCCAGAGCTGGACTCATCGCCCGCCCCTACCTAACGGGCCCCTGCTCCTGTTTTGCTCCTGTCAAGGGACCAGAGTGCTGCCCCGACCCACGGAGACAGGAACTGAGGAGTCATACACCTCCTCCTCCCTCCCCAATGTCATCAGATCAGCCCATCGCCTGACTGCAGCCACTTTCATCCTCCTGATCCGTTTAAAGGCTTCAGAAACTCTCGCCAGGACTATTCCAAAAGCCCCGCAACGACTCTCCCGGCCTCCACGGGTGCTCTACTAACCATTTCTCTGGAGACTGGAGATCATGTCACATCTTTGATAAAAATCCCCATAGTCGTCCCTTTCCATAGCACAAACTATCAAATGGAACTTAACACGCAAGCCTCCTCAGGAGCTGGTCCCTGGCAGACTTCTGGCCATTGCTCTGTCCACTACTTTCCTCCCATCCTGCCCCTCCCCCAGGCGATGACATTTACAGTTCCTGGAACATCGGGCCATGCTCTTTCTCATCTCCATTCTTTTCCAAAGTGTCCTTCCCTCACCTAGACATGCTTTCCTGCCTCTTGTCCAGCTGATTCCAACAGATGAATTCTATTTGTTTTTTAAGATACAACTAAAGTAGTCTCTTTTGTTAAGCTTTCTGGAGGACCTCATGCAGATTTGTCATTCCATCTTCTGTACTCACATCTTACACCACAGTGCCTAGGACACAGTAGGTACTCAAAAGCATGTGTTGAAGCATCTTTAACTTGTTTATTTGTCTTTCTCTCATCATAAAGTCAGTCCACTCCATCCTTATTCCACTCCAACTACCCTCACCCTGTTGAGAACAGTTCTGGCCTTGACAAGCCTTTGAGGAAGAAGCCACATAATTTCTGACTCTGTCATGTGCTTTGGGATACTCTCTCATTGTCTCATGCTGTCACACCAACATCTGATGCTGTCACACCATACTCCTTGTTGGCTTTTTCCGTGAGTTGCCAGGTTGATTCATTGGGAGATATTCTTTAATAGTTCCCAATCTTGGCACATCAGAATCATCTGTGGCTTTGTAAAAATCAAGACTCGAAATTTGTTGGGGAGTTAAAATATCCCCCCAGCTGATTCCAAGAAAACACTATTCTCAGGCTTGGATTTTGGTCCCATTGTGTCCAAATTAGTGATTTCAAATGTGAACATCCCTTTTTAACATCAAATCATTTTTTGAGGCTCTAACAGGTGGCCTTAAAGTGACCACTGATTCCGAGAGCAGCAAGGGAATTGGAACTTATGGGTTCACAGGGATCCATAGCCCCAGGTGAGAACCTGCACTCTGGACATGAAGAACTACAGTAGCCCTCCTTTGTCTGCAGTCTCGTTGTCTTGGGTTTCAGTTATCCCTGATCAACCTTGCTCCAAAACTATTAAATGGAAAATTCCAGAAATAAACAATGCATTAGTATTAAGCTATGCACTGCTCTGCATAGCATGATGAAATCTTGCGCCATCTCACTCGGTCCCACCCGGGCGATAATCGCCCCTTCGTCCAGCGTCTCCACGCTGTAGATGCTCCCCACCTGTTAGTCTCTCAGTAGCCATCAAGGTTATCAGATTGACTGTCATGGTAGCAGTACTTGTGTTCAGTCACCCTGATTTTTCTTAAAAATGGCCCTACAATCATTCACAGAACTTTTATTGCAATATATTGTTATAATTGTTCTATTCTGTTGTTAGTTATTATTATTAATCTCTTATTGTGTCTAATTTATAAATTGAACTTTATCATAGGCATATATGGATAGGAAAATAACATAGTATATATAGGGCTCAGTACTAGCCACGGTTTCAAGCATCCAATGGGGATCTTGGAATGTGTCCCCCACAGATTAGAGGACACCACTGTATCTCAAGAGTCAGCAAGGCATCCAATATGTTTTCTGAATGAGTCGGTGGACACAAAGAGAAAGCGTGGATTATATATCAGATGTTGGATCAAAAGGCTCCGAAAGAGCGCCCCAGAGTGTGTGGTTAGTTTAGCGCATCGATGACTCCGGGAGACAGGTTCTGGAACCCTTCAGCGCCTTCCCTTGAGAAACACCATTTCAAGAAGAGCTGGCCTCATAATAATCCCCCTTTCCAATCCACCTCACCATCAGCACCCTAACCCCATCCTCTTCACCCCATAATTTCTGTAACCCCAGCAGCACTACCCGGCTAGTGAAACCGGCCTCCACACGAGCCCAGGAGGCTGGCTGCAGGCAAGGCCAGGTTCATGTGCAAGCTGAGCTCCGCCCGCCAGGTGTGAGCCGGCTCGGGGGCGGCGAACCGGGCAAACAGGACTCCTCTCTTGGGGGAAATTGGAATACAGTAGTAAGAAGGGGAGGCGAGGGCACAGGACGGGTGGTTCTCCAGCTTCGGTGGGCCCAAGCATCACAGCACTGCAGTGAGGGGGGTTATCGGTCAAGAGCCTTGCAAACCCCGGTCCAGAGGTGGGACACTCAGTCCCAGATGCTGAAAAGACAGTTGCTTATGCCAACCGAACCTCCTCCCTGCCTCTTCCCCACAGATAAAAATCCCTGAAGATACTCAGTGTGCAAGTTGTTCTTTAAGGAATAGTTTTAAAGCAGTCTAGATAGCAACTTGGAAAGAGCCACTAGTCACAGGCTTTACTGTAGCCCACAGTTCTGATGGTGGAAGAGACGGGGGTCATAGAGTCATATGATGGGAGGAAGAGAAGCCGTGAGGCGGAGAACAGATTCGTCAGGCAAGGTTCCCTTCTCCGTTGCAGGTCTGAACTGGGGAGGGGAGAACCCTAAGGCCAGGGGTGTTGTTATTATTCAAGGCCAGGTGTTTAATTACTAAAATGAGAATTGTTAATGACCAAAAGCGGCAAGGTGACAGTTTGTGATCGAAGGGTAATGAGCACACGTTATGAAAACTATGAGACTTATTCAAAAATCTGTGGGAAGCAAGAAGTAGAACATTTGCAGGAGCAGCCTGCAAATAGAGGAAAAATAAAGTTGCTTTATAATCTCATGGCATTCTCCTCTATCAGCATAATGGTTACATTTGGCAAGTTGTCTCGGTTTTGATAATAAATAGTTCCTAACTCAGACCAAATGCTGTTTATTCCTTTCATACTTACAGGCTCTCGGGCTCATATCTTGTCCTGAGAGAACTATTGTAAAATAGAACCGAAATGCTGCCTCCTCAGTTTGTTGCAAATATACGCCGCCTCCACTCCCAGTGGTCTTTCCGTGGTTTCTGCAGCTCGCTTGAATCTTTCTGGCAAACACATCCTAAGGTCTCTTGCTTCCGTGGACTCACTGAAATCACTTCACGAATCTGGCTGTTCTACTTGTCCTGTGGTATTAGGTAGAAAGAAAAATATGAGTTATCTTTTCATTCCTCACCTCGCTCCTCGTCAAAACTGTTATTTTAATCACCCTCTCATCTTTTTCAACAGTATCTGCACATTGGGGTGGTGCTTTCGGCAGTCCAAGCTTTTTACACGGTTTCAGATTCACTGTGTATAAAATTTTCCATAGAAATTCGAAGACATTTTACATACTATCTCGCTTTAAAAATCGTTTTTCTCTGATTATAAAAGGTATATGTGTTTATGATAAAGTACGCGGAGAATACAGAACTATTCGAAGAAGGTATCATCCCTAATCACACCAGAGTTCCCTGACTTCTGAAAGAGAGACTTGAAACTTTGCTGACCAAAGTCATTATTTTAAACATCCATTATTGAAAAGAGGAGGGGTCTCAGGGATGCTCCCGAGATGTCATATTTTTTTTGCCTTGATTGATAATGGTGGTCGCTATCACTTCCGATGACATCTTTGCCAGTCTCCTCTCTGACTCGTGTAACAGCGTGTTCCTTCCACATGCAAATAAATAAATAAATAACTCAGGGATGCCCGAGATGTCATATTTTTTTTGCCTTGATTGATAATGGTGGTCGCTATCACTTCCGATGACATCTTTGCCAGTCTCCTCTCTGACTCGTGTAACAGCGTGTTCCTTCCACATGCAAATAAATAAATAAATATAA